TCGGGAGAAAAGACAAGACTTTCTACTCCTGTTACAGTCTTGGAAACTCCCAGGGGCCATTCTCCCCTGTCTTATAGGGTTGCTATGGGTTGGCACTGATTTGACAACAGTGAGTTTGGGTTTGGGTTTGGGTTTGGTAGCCTACAAGGTTCAAAATGAACTGGCCACTGCCCACCTTTCTCACTTCATCTCCTCCTTGTTTTCACCCATCAGCCCCTCTCTCCCTCCAACAGGTCAAGTGTTCCCCCTCACCCCCCCTCTGAGTTTTTGTACCAGCCACTCTCTCCATCTGAGGGCTTGGCCCCAGACCGCTGCCCTTCCCCAGGCCTCTGCTAAATGGCAGCTCTGCTGAGAGGCCCTCCCTTGCCGCCCCCTGCGAGGTGGCCCCGCCCAGCAATTTGCCCACTTTCATTTTCATCTGGACACATGCCACCCCTGGCATCCCCATGCTGGGCTCTCTCTTCTAGAAGCTGGTGCCCTTGGGAGTAGAGGACCTGCCTGCCTCCCACAGCCCCTCTCCACACGGGAACAGTGCCCGGCACATGAAATGCATTTGACCCACAGTTGATGACTGACCGGTGAGCGGCTGATGACGCTGCCACTTGCCCATGCAGACAAAGCGCTCGCCCCCATCTCCGCATCTCACTCATTCCGATCCTGGACCCGCCATCTTTATGCACCCGGCAAACACATTAAATAGCTGCTGTGTGCTAAGCACTGCCTGAGGTGCTGGGCCTTCCGCAGTGAGCGAGACAGATGCGGCCCTGGGTGAGCATGTGGCCTAGTGGTCCTATAGAGAGAGTCTCAGCCATGTGCTCACCCACCATTGTTCTTAGAAGCACAGACCCCTGGCTTCTTGTGCCCATCAGAGAAGTGGTTGCTGGGAGCTGCTGGTGCATTAGCCCTGCACCATGATGACCTCTGGAGATACTGCCGTTTTCCCAGGAACTTTTTTGAAGTCCCCTTGCCCTGGTGGACAGAGCCCTAGTGGCGTCATGGATACATGTTGGGCTGCTAACTGCAAGGGCAGCAGTTTGAAACCACCGGCCGCTCCATGGGAGAAAGATGGGACTTTCTGCTCTCGTAAAGTACTACAGCCTCAGAAACTCCCGGGATGCAGTGTGTCCTGTCCTGGAGGGTCACTTAGATGCAGCATTGACCCGGTGGCGGTGAGTTTGGTCTGGTTTTTGCACTGGTGACATGGCTTCCGGCATCCCAGCAAAGCACGAGCCACCCCTGGAAGACAAACTGATGGGTGGGTGACGGTTTATGAGGTAAATACTATTATTATGCACCTATTACAGGCAAGGAAACTGAGGCACAGGAGGTAGCCCACCGCCATCTCACAGCTGGTTAGTGGCAGGGCTGGAAACGGGGTCTCCTCTCTTACTTGGCCACCTTCTTGCTTCACTTGGGGCTCGCGTTCTGATCCTCCTGGCCTCAGCCCTTAATCCAGGCCCCTCTGGACTGAATACAAGTCCAGCTTCCTCGTTGTGGCCAGCTAAGGGCTGTGGGCTAGTGCAGGGGTCCTCTTCCTGCTCTTGGTTCAGGCTGGCACTCCATTCAAACCGGTTCTGCCCCATGGCCATCCTCTCACCCCCCACCCCCTTCCCTTTTCAATGATTCCCAAGACCCCAAAGGTGTGTCTGGAGGGTGGGGTACTCTCGGAATCTGCAGACGGGAGAGATTTACAGCCCTGCGTTGCTTGGTATGAGTCCAAGTCGACTGGGAGGCAGTGACGGGAACGCTGTGTCACGATTTTAGGAGTTGCAATAACTCAGCAGAAAGTCACTTCTTTATTCACATGAGTTGGAAGCGATTCTTCCTGCTGAGAAATCACAGGACAGATGCTTACGGGTGGATCTGACGCTACAGAACAGACGCGCTCCCAGCCGTTGGGCACGGATCCGAGTTTGGAAGCAGTCTTTAAAACACAACCAGAGAATCTCACTGGCCTAACTCTGAGTGGATTGTCATCTTCATTTATTGAATTTTCCTAAAACACGGCCTTTTGTATGGGGGAATAAAGGCGATTCAATTTAGGAGTTGATGCTTTTCCAAACGAAGAATTCAGGAAATTAATTACTCTGCCAATAGCCTCTGGATCTAATGAAGAGTTCTTGTGCATCACAGTGCTGTTACTCCCCTAATATTGAATGTACTACGGACTGCCAGATGGACAAACAAATCTGTTTTGGAAGAAGTATGGCCAGAATGTTCCTTAGAGGCAAGGGTGGCAAGACTTCATCTTATGTCCTTTGGGCGTGCTGTGGGGAGAGACCAGTCCCTGGAGAAGGGCATCTTGCTTGTAAAGTGGAGGGGCAGAGAAACAGAGGAGGGCCCTCGAGGAGTTGAAGTGACACTGGCTGCAGCCATGGGCTCAGGCCCAGAAACGATGGTGAGGCTGGCACAGGACGGGGCAGTGTTTCCTTCTGCTGTGCACAGGGTCGCTGTGGGTTGGAACCCACCCGATGGCCCCTAACAACAACAGTGCCCCTACCCTCTTGGGCACATGGGAAAGAGCATTTTCTTAGCGACACTCAATGGGATTTCCTATTGCTACAGCCATCCCTTTTTCATCGTGAGGAAACCGTAGCAGAGAGAGGTCAAACCACTTAGAAAACAAAGGGATCGGCATGTTGTTGCTGTGGTTAGGTGACATGGCATCCATGTGGACCCCCAGCAGCCCCGTGCACAACAGAAGGAGACACCGCCCAGTCCTGCGCCGCCTCACAACGGTTCCCATGGCCGAGCCCATGGTTGCAGCCACTGTGTCCATGCATCTCCTGGAGGGCCCGCCTCTATTTCTCTGCCCCTCCCCTTTACCAAGCATGCTGTCCTTCTCCAGGGACTGGTCTCTCCCTACAACATGTCCAAAGGGTGTAAGACGAAGTCTTGCCACCCTTGCCTCTAAGGAGCACTCCAGCCACACTTCTTCTAAGACAGACTTGTTTGTCTTTTTCATAGTCCGTGGTACTTCCAGTGGCTCTGTGTATTCTTTTCATCTTCTCTTGATGCTGGCTACATTTTTCAGTGTTTTGCCTGTAGAATCTTTCAAGATGGCAACTTGAGGCTTGGCTTTTTTCTTGAGTTCTTTCAGTTTAGGATGCTGAACATGTTCTTCCCGTTTGTTTTTCTAACTATAAGTCTTGGTGCATTTCATTATATTGGACTTTGTCTTTGCGAGCCACCCTTTGGGATTTTATCATTGGCTCATTGACTAGAGAGTCTCACCTGGCAGCCTTGCTGATCTTTTCTTTGGCATGGAGTGGAAGAAATCCAGGAAGCTGCCACAATACAGGGTTTGAAGAGCAAGGCCCTGTCAGCAAAGGGACTGGTGTAGGCTAAGGAGGGGGTCTTGCTGTGCGGGTGGGGCTTCTGGGTAGGTAGCAGTTCCAGAGGTAATGAGCTCTAGGAGTAATAAAGAAATGAGACTTTTTTTTTCAAATAACAGAGTATGTTTTAAAGCTATAAAGATTAAAACAGTGTGGTATTGGCATAGGGACAGAGAAAAGCATTATCAGTAGAAGAGAAGGAAGTAGACCCATGCATGGGTAGGGCGTGCAATGCAATAGAAAGGTCCCATTTGAAATTGGTGTGGAAAGAAGGGACCATTCTATAATGGTGCAGAGCCATTAACTACCCATTTTAAAAAGTAAAGTGAGATCTTCACTTTGCACCATGAACCAGGATAGATTCCAGGTAGACTAACAAAAAGGAGCCTCTAAGACTAGGGGGGGGAAATAGAATAACGTGTTTATAGTTGTGGTTTTCTTAAGTTAGATGTAGGAATCAAAAACCAGAAAAGGGAAAGACTGAGAAATTGGACCATATCACATGTGAAAAGGTGTGATAAAAATGTGCTGCACATGGAAAGACAGCACTGTGCGTGCAACAGTCTGTGCAACAGATCGGTTGCGCATCCCGAACCGATCCAGATTCCTCACCAAGAGAGCAGGAGCCAGAGAAACAATGGCAAAAAATACTGACGGGCGCTCGTAGATGAGAGAAACGGTCATTAACCCCGTGAAAAATGTCCCAGACCATCAGAACAGAGGAAATATGAACCTAAAACAAGGTGGAGATGTTCCGGCCCTCTTGGGGGGTGGGGGTGGGGGCAAGAAAACCTGATTTGTGGCGATTGCCAGTGTCCGTGCCATCAGAACTCTTCCTAGCCGAGATGATTTCAACCCAATCACCGACTATCGAAAGAACACATGTATCTGTCTTGGAAGAAGTCCAGCCAGCATGATCCTTGGAGACAAGAAGGGCCAGGCTTGGTCTCATGTGCTTTGGACAAGTTGATAGGAGAGACCAGTCCCTGGGGAAGAGCATCCTGCGTGGTGAAGTAAGGGAGCGGGAGGTGGGGGTGGGGGTGGAGGAAAGAAGACCTTCAACAAGATGTTTGACACAGTGGCTGTACCAATGGGCTCAGACCCATGCTCGTCCGACCACAGTGGGGATGGAGCAGGACCAGACAGTGCTTTGTTCTTGGGTACAGATGGTGCCTATGGGTCGGAACCAACAAGTTTTGAGGAGCGGCCTCATTGTTTTCCGCCGGGCAGGTACCATTTGGCAGTCCCACCTGCAACAGCAAAGGGTTCCAATTCCCCCCAATGCTTATGTTTGTAAACAATGCTTTATTGGGACACAGCCAGGCTCGTTGGTTTGCATATAGTCTGGCTGGTTTGCAACAGAGACTGTTGGCCTCGAATAGTTACTGTCTGGCCCCTTAAGGAAAACTTTGCCAATTTTTGGCAAATGACTCGATTCTCTGCTTTCCTTGCTTAGACTTGTCCGGGATCCTCTCTGCTCCTAAACCCAGACTCAAGCTCCTTGCCATGACCTAGACAGTGGCCACCCTGTGCCCCTCTTGCTCTGCCCTCCTGACCTCTCTCCACCTCGGGCTTCATCTCTCCCTTGGGTGCCTGGGCGGATAAGAGGGAGGGGGACAAGGTCCTGCCTGGCTTTTCTGACGCGCCCTGCTCTCTCCCCCACAGGCCTCCTGGGAATGGTGGCCCACATGATGTACACACAGGTGTTCCAGATCACCGTGAGCCTCGGCCCAGAAGACTGGAGACCCCATTCCTGGGACTACGGGTGGTCCTTCTGGTAAGCGCCTTCAGACTTCAGGCAGTAGGGCCCCAAGGCATGCTGGGACTTCAGCAGCTCAACCCAATAGGGACGCAAAGGAAAGAGGGCTCCAACAGCACATTAGGGTGGGAGTGCCTTATAGCCAAAGGCCAGATCCAGCCCCCTCCTATTTTTGCCTGTACATTTTAAACTTTTTTTAAGGTTTGTATAAAAAAAGAAGAATTTTGGTGACATATGAAATGTATGTGAATTAAAGTTTCAGTGCCCGTAAAGTTTCATTCTATGGAAGCACTGGCATTTACAGATTGCCCTGGCTGCCTTCACACAATGAAAGGACAGCGTTGAGTAGTTTTGAGAGGAGCCACATGAGCCCAACATTAGAAAACCCTTACTGCCCGGCCCTCGGTAGGTACCGATTGCTGGCCCATGAAGATGGAAGCTGGTGAGACCTGGTGTCAGGGGCCACAGCGGTTTCTGGGTGGTTTGATTGGGTAGGAGGACCACCGTGAGGGGCTTTGGAGACAGGGGTAGGGGTGAGCAGCTAGAGCAAAGTGTGCAGAAGCAAGGCACTCCGGGTTGGGATTCTTGTGACTAAGAGTGATTGTTGCAGGGCTTAGTTCATGTAACGGAAACTTCCAAGAGTATTGAGTACTGGCTCAGGTTCTAACAGAAAAACCCACTGTTAGTCTGGGTTGACTAGAGAAACAAATCCAGGGAGACACCTGTGTGTATAAAAAAGGGCTTTATAGCAAAGATTAATTGTATATTAAGAAAACATCCCAGTCCGGATCAAGTCCTTAAGTCCAATATTAGCTCATATCAGTCTATAAATTCCTCTTCAGACTCACACGCAACATGCAATGATGCTGAATGCAGGATGATCACAGGCCAGTGGGTGGGAAGTCTTGTGGATCCAATGGCGGTGGAAGCATCTCAGTGCTGGCAGTGGGTTTCCACGTGGCTCCTCCAGCTCCAGGGCCCTGGCTGCCATCAGTGTGTCTCCATGTGGCTTGTCAACAAGAATGTCTCACAAGGAGACAAGTAGAGAGTGTTATCTGGTCTCCAGTGATCTATTTATCTCCATAACACCTTCAAATGAGGTGGTCAAGCTGTGACCTGATGGACAGGCTAGACTCCACCCCCTTCACAAGTTGACAGGAGATTTTGTAACTGCCACACCCATCCATGTCAGTCCAGATGATAAGACAGAGGGGGCTCGCTGCAATGAAAGAGCAGCTGTGGCATGAACTTCAGGGATTTTTGATCCTGGGGAGCTTGTGTCACCAGGGCTGAGTTCTCGTCTCCTGTGATCCCCCAAACACCATCCCTCTGCACGTGGCAACTTTGTCCCTGAAATGACTGCCTCGGAATGATGACAAGGCTCCTCCTTCACAAACCACAAGCCAAGCCCATTCCACTTGATCAATTCCAAGTCACGGCGCCCCCTTGTGTCACAGAGTAGAACTGCTCTGTAGCGTTTTCTTGGCTGTAAGTCTTTTTTTTTCTCCCCAGTTTTAAAGGGAAGATTGTCCTCTTTTTATTTTGTTGGCAGCATACATAATAAAACACCATTCCTACGCATGCAGTTTAGTGATGCCGATGACATTCCCGCAGCTGTACAACCATTTGCCCCCTCTCGCTCATGAACAAACTCATAACCCTATAAAATCCCTATCTAATCTTTTAAGTATGTGTTATAAATCTGATCCCACATAGACTGGTGCTCAAATAGCACCAGGCTCAAGCAGGTGGGCTAACTTGAAGACATCTCCAGGGTATATTTTTGAGTGAAGAAGAAAGATTTTAATAGCATTCCGGGTAACTGAGTTAGACCTCCTTGAGTCTTGGCAGGACTCTCCGGAAGCCGGCCACCAGATCGTTTGTTGGCAGTGCTTCCGGGTGCATGTCAAGTGCCATCTGTGACGTGAACAAAACCAACACCAAACCTGCCGTCACCAAGCCAGTTCCGACTCACAGTGATCCTAGAGAGGTTTTCCAAGGATGTAAGCCTTGGGAACAGGAGAAAAGAGACTCATCCTTCTCCTACAGAGCAACTGGTAGGTTTAACCCACCAACCTTTCCATTAGGAACCCCAGATCTAGTTAGGGAAATAGGTGAGCACTCGTGTGCCAACCACGGAGCCCCTCTTTCACACGCAGGGGGAGAAAAGCCTTCTTTTCCCCAGCCATTCTGCCCACTGATCAGAACAACGAAGGAAAAGCTCTTTTTTCCTGAGTTAATTGACACGGCTGGGGCAAGTCAGGCCTTTGTGCTCTTGCCTCATGTCAGCCGGGTCACCTCTGTAAAGACTCTCAAGTGAGCAAGCGAATGCTGCGTGAGTTACCACCCGCCTGCTGCAGGCACAGCTGATTCCAGGTGGCCGAATGAGGTCATCAGAGACTCGGTCAAGCCCTCCCCTTTCCTTCCTTTCTTAAAACCAAAACCAAAAATCTTTATAATTGTGATGTTGGCCAGGGTTAACCTATCAGAACACCATTTTTGCACTGTAGCTTAAGTATTTTAAACAGCTTCAACAGCCAATCCTCTGCATGACTTGCCTTATTCCCATCTCCACCCCTCCTTCCTCTCTGTCCTCCCACCCCATTGTTCCTCTTTAGGATATTGTCTTTTCCTTCACCTACGTTAACACCAGTCCACCCTCTGGTCCATAGGTTCCCAAATTTATATGGCCTACCATCCCCTTTCAGGAAAACAAAATGACTCCGTACGCCCTAGTGATTAAAAGCCTTTGTACGATAGCCCGCCGTCGTCTAGGATAAAGTGTAGGTATCTCCCTTGGGTCATTCCAGGAGCTCCTGTGGCATAGTGGTTATGCGCTGGGCAGCAGTTTGAAACCAGCAGCCCCTCTGCTGCAGAAGTACGAGGCTTTTCAGTCCTGTTCTGAATCACAGCCTTGCCTTAGAGCATCTCTGTGCGTGTGACTCGACTCGATGCAGTGAGTCTGTTGCTTTGTGTTTTGGACTGTTGTCATGTCCCCCGTGGACCGGGATCTCCCACTTTGGGAATCATTGCTCCATCCCAGGGGTCGGCAAATAGGTTCGAGGCTCCATGTCTGCCTCTTGCCACGTCCAAGTGGCTCTGAAGTAAAATTGAAAGTTAAAATAAAAACTATCATACTTTCATTTAGAGGATACAATTCAGTTAATGGTGATTTCATTCATTATTCATATTGATGGCTCTTGAATAATCTTTAGATTATTGTGAGAGAGAGGATTGGCTCTTCTGTCTCAAAAGTTTGCCGACCACCGCTTTAGCCTCTTATGTTCCCTTCCACCCTCCTCCTTCCACCCCTGGTAATCATCAAGGTCTATTTCTTTAAAAAAAAACAAAACAAAAATCCATTTTTTGGACATATCATTCATGTACCATACAATGCAATCGTTTAAATATATTCGAAGGACTTGTGCAGTCATCACTACAATCAGTTGTAGACCACTTTCTTCATCCTTGTACCCATTATTATTAGTTCCATGTTCCCCAACCTTCCCCGACATCACCCCAAGAAACTGTTCATCTAGTTGCTGTCTCAGTAGACTCACCTCTCCTGAATCTCACATGAAGAAAGTCATACCAAAAAATATCAGCGGTAAACTAAAGCACAGAAAAGCCTCCATCCAAAAGAAAGCAGAAAATAATAAAAACTAGGGAAAGTTCAAGATTGACTCAAAGGGAAAACAAGTAGTAAGATGTTCAATTTTAACCTAACAATATGTAGAGCCACCTACTTCCCAATGCATTCTGGCTGAGGACAAGGCTCCGCACATCCTTAGTCAGTGAACCGAGCGACTTCATCGGGGTTAATCCGTGGGGGGCCTGGGAATGGACTTGATCTTTCCCTGTGGTCCTGGCTCTCTGCAAACGGGTGTTCAGAACTTAAGCTCTGATGCACCCCTGTCTCTGACCTCGGATTTTGTTGAATAGTCATCTGATCACACTGACTGGTTAGCTTCTTCATGTGGACTTAGCTGACACCTTTCCTAGATGGCTGCTTGCTTTAAGACCAACCTTTAGTATCCCAGACTCCTCTTTCTGAGAGCCAGGCACCATCGGATTTCTTTTTTTCATACTTTTAAAAAAATGTATGTACCAGTAGTTGTCCTTGTTTCTTCTGTGGGGTAGCCGTCTTGGATACTCCATTTGCAGATCCCTTAGCCCTGCTCGATGAAGCCGATACCCTTTGCTCACTGACGGAAGCACTGGCGGCACATAGTGAGGCCATACTTCCGGATCAGACCGTGCGGGTTTGAGCACACGCCGCAAGAACGGGAACTCTGGGCACATTTTCTCCGGGGCCTCCAGTGGAGCTGCTGGTGACCTGTCTTGCTTTCCGGGACTCCCCAAGGCAAGAGGCTGATTTCTTCCTAACATGTTACCGTAGCACCCATATCATCAGGGATCAGTCCATGAAGACAGGTATCAAGCAGAGCCATATGATAAGAACTAGTTGTTCTTAGATTAGGGCTGATGGTTAACAGTGAGATCAAAATCCCTTCACATAGCTATGGGATATACATACATATCCCTGGTCCACTTTAGAGGCAGCATTATCAGGTACTTGAACAATAATATAACCAATTTCCATGGGACATTTGGTAATTCTAAAAGATTGAAATACATGGAATGTTCACTGATACAGATTAAGACCTTAAATTCCTAAACACTGTTTAAGAAAACAATGAGGGTTGGACAGGAGGCAAAATTTCAGTAACATTCACTAAGACCACACTGCGTCTACAGGACCAAGACGTGCCATAAAAAGCAGAGAGTATGCAAATAGCAAATATAGGGTCGTCTGGCGCTGCCAATTATTGGGCAACCTCAAAAGCAAGATATCTGAACCAAAGTCCACTGACTTCCAAACCCACAGCACTGGGATAACAGCCTCCCTCCGCCTCTTCTCCCACTGGGCTGTTCAGCCTTCGGCTCCAAGGAGCAGTTCCGTTCCTCTCAACTGTAACAGGTGTGTTTAAGGTCATTTAGTGGGGTTTCCAAAGTGG